TGGGCCTGAAACGTCAGCTTTCCTGTTCCTCTGATGCTGCTTGGCCTGCTGTGTTCATCCAGCTCTACAGCTTGTTATCTCATTAAATATCTGGACTGTTTGAGGTTAGAATTCTACTCTCCCTTCATCAATAGAATCGAGCAATCCAAGGAAGGAAACCGACCCTGTACCTTGACTGTGAAAAAAAGATGAGAAAGGAAAAGCAGCACTGGCTGATGCATAACTAGGCATTCTTACTGAATGACAGTGGGGATTTGTATTGATTCTCATACCAAGAAGTGAAATTGTCACCTGTCCTTCTTTCTGCCATGTCAGCATTGTTGTTACACTCCTCGCAAACAGTCAAAGAAGTGTGTGGTAACAGGTTCTTGGCCATCAATAAAAATTGTGGTGAGCTGTTATGAAGGAGCTTCCAAGCCAGCTCCAAGCCTCTTCAGTACAGCTTCTAAAGTGGAGACTAGGGTCTTCACTGCAGCCGGAACCATTTTAAGTGGCAAACTACATAAGTACTTCTGCCCTCTACACACGTGAGACCCCATGTCTGGGATTATTCCAAAAACAGTTCAATTTCTTCATTCTTGTATATACATGAACAATAAAGCATTGAGCTTTTCTCATTTTTTTGCTTTTTTCACCATCATTAGTTGCTATATTTTTAGAAAATTTTATAGAACTGGCTTACAAACGTATACGTTCTTCTATAAGTGCAGTGTAATTTTCACAGCCTTCCTCATCATCCCAGTCTCTCCACAGAAAGTCATAAAAGAACCTGAAAAATTTGTAATAAAAGCATAAATGGAGTTAACGATCCATGGAAACTGACATGGTTATTAAATGTAGAAAAGTTTGTTTTTGTATTTACCTAACATTTTCCAGAGCTTGAGCAATACCACATACAGCAGAATCCTGATCATCTATTGGATAAACTTCCAACAATGGAACACAGTGATCTAGCTCGTCCAAAACTTCCTCAACAAGTTCTCTTGGCAGATTAGCGATATTAGAAGAATATGGTTCTATGATTGATACTGTAGCTCGCAAATGAGAAGATTGGCTTTGTCGAGGCCTGCATGTGACCTACAAAACATTAAAGCCAAGACAAAAAACAGTTCACAATTACTAGGATCTTCATCATTAACTTAAAACCTATGAGCTCCATATATAAAAAAAATTATACGACCGTCAGCCCACAAGGTAAAATACTTGCAAACATTATTGCTTCAATATTTTTAATTCTGCATGATCAGATAATATCCCCTCCTGTATGTAAAGCATTTCCATTAACATAGACACAGCAAGACCTGAATAATATTAAAGCTTGGTGGAAAATAGCATTTACCAGGCATTGATCATCTCCAACAGGATAGAATCCAACCATCAACATTCAATACTATTACCAGCACAGAATGCTCCACTATCAACATCTTCGGGGCTACCACTGACCAGAATATGAAATAGGCTAGCCATATAAACACCTTGGGTACAACAGCGTGCCAGAGGCTAGAAATACTGCAGCAAGTAACTCACTTCCTGACTCCCAAAAGCCTGTCCACCAACTACAAAAAACAAGTGATTTGTGCAATGGAATTCCTCCCACTTGTTTGACAACATCAAGTATAAATCAGTCTGACTGACTTGCACAATATCCAAAAGCATTCAACTCATCCACCACTGAGATACAGTTGTAGTAGTGAGCACCATTTACAAGGTGCACTGCAGAAATTCACCTTGGGTCGTCAAACATGTTGTTTCAGAAGCTGCTATCAGCAGTCTCTCCCCATGTTTCAGAAGCCTCTGCACCCACTCTCTTGTGCTGCTTCAGAAGCTATTGGCCCTACTCTCCCTCGTACTGTTTCAGAGGCTGTTGTCCCTGCCGTCTTGCATGCTGTTTCAGAAATTGCTGTTCCTCCTCTTTCCTGCGCTGCTTCGGAAGCTGCTGCCCCACTCTCTTCTGCACTTTTTCGGTACCTGCTAACCATACTCATCACTTTATGAAGCAAACGGGCAACAACAGTTCACAAGGCATCCCACCACAACCTCCTCAAGGGTAATTTTGGAAGGGCAATAAATGCCGGCCTGGCCAGAGATGTCCATATCCCGAGAATAAAAAAAATGATAACCGTGGTAAACTGAAAGAATTTGAAAACATAACAATAATATTATGTAGCTCCCAGCCATGCTAGATCAGAAAGTGAACAACAAACTGACTGCAAAAAAGCTTTCTATATGAAGGCTGAACAACTTGCAAACAATTAGGAAAAGTGCATCTAAGGCAGACAATCTATAAGGATGAAAATATAAGTAGCATTAAAACAACTGGGATTCTATGCACCTATATTTACAAATCAGCTGAAGCTCACATTTACTGAAGTGACTCCATATCATCTCCATCACAAAGAATATTTTTTCTGCCCCTGTAATATAAAACTTTCCTCCACCATTGTAAGTAGAACTCTCATCAGCCCGTGACCTACATTGTTCAAATGCTTTCCTGGATTACCTCTCATCTTCCACCTTGTAAACTTGAGCTGCTCCAATTTCTGCTGCCAATTTTCTAACCTATATCATAGAACATAGAACATAGAACATTACAGCGCAGTACAGGCCCTTCGGCCCTCGATGTTGCGCCCACCTGTGAAACCAATCTGAAGCCCATCTAACCTAAATTTTCCATTATCATCCATATGTTTGTCCAATGACCATTTAAATGCCCTTAAAGTGGGTGAGTCTACTATTTTTGCAGGCAGGGCATTCCATGCCCTTACTACTCTCCGAGTAAAGAACCTACCTCTGACATCTGTCCTATATCTATCACCCCTCAATTTAAAGCTATGTCCCCTCGTGCTAGCCATCACCATCCGAGGAAAAAGGCTCCCACTGTCCACCCTATCTAATCCTCTGATCATCTTGTATGTCTCTATCAAGTCACCTCTTAACCTTCTTCTCTCTAACGAAAACAGCCTCAAGACCCTCAGCCTTTCCTCATAAGACCTTCCCTCCATACCAGGCAACATCCTGGTAAATCTCCTCTGCACCCTTTCCAATGCTTCCACATCCTTCCTATAATGCGGTGACCAGAACTGTACGCAATACTCCAAGTGCGGCCGCACCAGAGTTTTGTACAGCTGCAACATGACCTCGTGGCTCCGAAACTCAATCCCTCTACCAATAAAACCTAGCATACTGTACGCCTTCTTAACAACGCTATCAACCTGGGTGGCCTAATGAACCGTCATCATGCTGCCTGCAAAGCTACATTGGATCCTAGACCATGTAAACCTTGATCTAAAAATTCTCATCCTTTTTCTCCAATTCCTCCATTGTTTAACCTCAATTTTTGTAACCTCCTTTAGCTCTGCACTGCCCCCGAATCAAGTTCTGCACTCCTGCAAATCTAGACACTCCACTAAAGCTTGCTGTGCCGTTAGCTGCACAAGCTCTAAGCCATGGAATTCCCTTTGCTTCTTGACTTCTTTCTTCAGACCTCTTTCTCCTTAGTTAAGAACCCCTTCAATCATAACTCTTTAATCAAGCTTCACATCTTCTCTTGAGGTTCAGTGGATAGCATCCCTGTCCTCAGCAGAAGCTCCAGAGTCAAGCCCCACTTGATGGCTACTGAAGGCATGCTCATGATATGGCCACACGTGTTCATTATCAATCTTTAAATCATTCCAAAATACCTATGGCAAACGGTGAAAGTGGGAGAGTCTCCTGATCAGCCAGAACAGTGTGGTAGTTGCAGCACAACAGCTTCCACACGAGTTCTTACAACAGTTTGTCCTTGTGGCAAGTGCATTTCTCAGTTTGAGAGCTGACCAGAAAAAGACTTGTATTAATACCTTTGTTTGTTCTGTTGTAAATGTTTGCCCTATTATGCTATGAAGTGCTTTGGTAGTGGAATTATATAAAAGCAATTTGTTGAGGTTTTTGCTGCAAGGTGCCATTTTAAAAAATTGGTCTAAAGCACCAAGTTTCCAGTTAGTTCAGGAAATAAACACTGCACGCATGAGTGGGCTATAACCTATCCAGTTGGGTCTCAAATTGCCAGAAAATAAAACTAGGAGATACAGTTCACATCTTAACTGCTATGTGCTGCTCAGCAATTATTTTACCTGAGGTCCAATCCATTAAGTGGATAAATGTTGTCTCACTGTTTTTCTTGATTAGTCTGCAGAGTTTGATGTGGTTCACTACACCAATGCCTTTCTACTATCATCCAGCTGGGTGGAAGTTCTTTCAGCTGGTCCCATTGTTACTTGGCTGATCATAGCCACAGTACCACTTGCAATGGTATTTTTTTTTCTACTCTCATACTGTTACTTCTGGTGTCTTCCAAGCACATTTTTATTTCGCATCTACAGGCTGCCTTTTGGTAGGATCATCCAAAACCATCCATACCTCTCCTAACTCCTCCAACATTATAAAATTATCAATCTACTTATCTGACATCCAGTATTGGGCAAGCAGAAATTTTCTCCAATTAAATAATGGGAAAATTGAAGCCACTGTTCTGGCCATTGTACAAGATTCTGTGGTAGGTTGCATCAACAAACTGCTGGATCTTGCAGTCAGTGGTAAAGCAAAGGGACTTGTTGCTACTCTTGAAGCAAGCTATCAACAAACATCTAGCCATCCGTGTGATGTGAATTTCCATTTTCTTGATGTAAATATGAACCTTCTGCCAAGTCAAGGCAATCTCCAGTCATTCAACAACAATGGTGCCATCAAGCAGGTCAAGCAATCAATCACAATAAAGATTTTTTTCTTAGACAGCAAAGCAGGAATAAAAACCATTGAATCCCTTCACTTTTTATTTTAAAACACTCCAGTGAGTGAAGTACATGATTTGCAACTTACACATGAATTAAGGCAGAAGCTAAAATATTATAGACAAACAAACTTTTTTTAAAAAAATATTTGAAAATATGATGGAGGAGATAGACATTCAACAATATAAAATTATTTTCTCAGGGTCAGTGGAGGCTAGTTAACAATTATTATGAACTTGATGTGTAGTCAAAATCTCAGTTACACTACAAACAACATGGTGTAAACATTTTACAGGTTTCCACAGCAACATGATGAGTGTAAAAGTGGAGTTGCTCATCAGTTCACTGATATTTAATTAATTAGAAGGACTCTAATAGCACAGAAATGTGCAGAATACTGAAAGGAACTTTCTGAATTTCTGAGTTTAACTGCAGTCTCTAGACATTGCTGACACTTTCACGATTTTACCATATGATTCAAGTTAATAATTCCACAGTTGTAATACAGAAACCAATGTCATCCGATAGGCTAGGCAAGGCTAGTGCAAACTACTGGAAGTTCCAACTGCTGTTCCTTGTTATAACTACATGTAGGGAAAGGAGATCAGGCAACAACTATACAGTGGATTAAACTACCACCTAGAGAAAGGAATATTCTTCATGTTGTAAGTATTTGGTGATTTATAGTATGAACTCGGAAGCTATGTGAGAATTCAAATAACTAAAACAAATAAAACAAAGAATTCCATGCTCCAGGAGCCTTCAGACAATGTCTTGCAATCTTCGTCACTGTGTTTTTAACAGACAGTAGTACGTGTTACCTTCTATCAGAATCATTTATCCTTTCTTAAAAATCCAAGTTCCCAAGCTTCTTTCCTATTCTGTATCGTGACTTGCATTTAAGTGAATTCACACTCTTCAGCCCAATGTGGCAATCAAAACTGCATGTAGAACACTGACACTGCCCTTTCAGGTCTAGTGTTGCCTCATTAAACTTCACTCAAAAAATCATTGAAAAATCATAAGTCTATAATTCATTTGTAATACTCAAAGCATTCCCCCACAGGTGTGGCCTCATAACTGAAGTCAGTCTTTACTTCATTGAATGCCTCAAGATTGTATCACCCTCACGTTCTCCACCTGATAGTGGAACTGACTGACTTTGACAGTGCAGCTGGTATCCTGCCAAGGTTGCAGGTCTTTAATCTGGCCTGCAGCATCAATGAATCAAATGTTATTTTAAGTGTATAATAACGTTTGAGTGGCCCTTTCATTGTCCTCTCAGAGCAGAGACTTGCCCCAGAATTGGTTCAAGCTCACACTCACAGCCCGAGCAGAAGACTCCAATCTTCAAGGCTGGGAATCCTGAGACAAATTCATGAATCCCCAAAGATTGTCTGCTATCTACAAGGCACAAGTCAGAAATGCGATGGAATATTCTACACTCATCATACATAAGTTCAGCTTCAACTTCATACATGAAACTCAATATCATCCAGGATAATGCAGCCCACATGATTGGTTCCCCATGTTTCCACCTTAAACATTCATTTCCTTTACCACCAATGCATAGTGGTAACAGTGTGTACCATCAATAAGATGCACTGCAACAAATTGCCAAGACTACATTGACAACACAATCCAAAACCATGAACTACATTACCTAGAAAAACAAAGGCAACAGATGCATGACAGCATAACCATCTCCAAATTTCCTTCCAAGTCACATACCATCGTGACTTAACACTACATTGCTATTCTCCTTCGTTCTTGCTGAACCGGAGGCCTGGAACTACCTTAACCCACTGAGATGTATCTGCATCACAAGGACTACAGATGTTTAGGAAAGTGGCCCAATATGAGCTGTTCAAGGGCAATTAGGGATGGCAATTAAGATGGCCTTGCCAGAGTGCATATGCCCATGTACAAATGAAAAGGTCAAATATTGCCTTGATGTCAAGTGCATTCAAAATAAGAGCTAAACTCTAAGCATGTGTTTCTGTCAATATTTAGACTCAGGCTGCGATGATATTTGGAGCTCAGTGGTCCTGCCAGAATTCAAACCGAACCTGCGGGGTCATATCACAGTTAAGTAAATACTTCCTGACAGCACTATCGAAAAGTCCTTCCAGCACAATCGTGGTGATTGAAAGAAGACTAGTGTTGCGGCAATTGACCATATTAGATTTTTCCTGTTTTTTTGTAAATTGGACACATCAGCACTTTTATACTTTGCTTAATGATGCCAATATTACAGATACTGGAATAGCTTGATTATTGACACAGCTTGTTCTGGAGTACATGATTTGAGTTCTACAGCTGCAATGTTGTCAGGACCATAGCTTTTGCTGCTCAGTGTACTCAAGCCACTTCTTGATGTCTCAACAAATGAGTAAATTGGCTAACAACAACCATTCATCATGCTGAGGATCTTAGATGGCCACAATGCATCATCCATTTAGCATTTCTTGGCGAAGCTAGCTGCTGATGTTTCCACCTCTTCTTTTCCATTGATGTGCTGGATTCTGCCATCATGAGAATGGAGAAGTTTATAGAGCCCCTCTTAATATTACTTGGTGAACTGTTGCTCAAACATTCATAACTCAATGTGGTATTACTGCAAAGCTTAGATCGGATTTGTTGGTTGTGGGATTGCTTAATTCTGTGCATACAGTTCTGTAGATATTGCAATATAAAAAAAATCACGCTGGTAATACACAGCAGATCTTGCAGCTCAGTAGAGGAACAAAAAGTTAAGATTGACGACTTTTCAGTTTCACTGTTTAGCATTCATATATGTTGTCACTTCACTAGATTGATACCTAACTTTTGGTATGTGGTAGTGCCACACAAAACAATGGAGAGTGTCCTCAATGTGGACTTGGGACTTTGTCCTGGATCAATAAGTGAAAAGTAACATGCCAAACATCTGCCAGGCAATGACCATCTCCAACAAGAAGGAATCAACCATTTCCCTTGACATTCAGCAGCATTACCATTGTGGAATTCCCCTACCATCAACATTGTGATAGTTACCATTTACCAGAAACTTAACTGACACTGATAGTTGCAACAAGAGCAGGTCAGAGACAGAGAATTCTTCAACATGTAATTTAACTCCTGACACTCAATGCATGTTCCCCACTTACGAGGCACAACAGTCAACAATAAAAAGTCAAGAACAGAATAATCTTCACTTGCCGTGGATGAATACAGCTCCAAAAGTATTCAAGAAGCAACTGGCACTCATCACCACCTTAAACACTCCCTCCATCACTAGTGCACAATGGTAGCTATGTCTATAATAAAGAACACGCACTACAACAAACCTAGTTTGACAATACCTTCCAAATCCAGAAGGACAAGTATAGAAGGTACATGGGAGCATCACCACATGCAAGATCCCCTCCAAGTCATACGTCATCCTGACTAGGAATTATATTGCCATTCCTGATCAAAAACCTGGAATTCCATTCCTATCAACATTACAGGTATACTAGATGGACTGTGCTTCCAGAAAGTGGCTCTGGAAGTGATGGAGGGAGTTTTAAGGTGGTGATGAGGGCCAGTTGCTTCTTGAGTACTTTAGGAGCTGTATTAATCCAGAGCAAGTGAAGATTATTCTGTTCTTGACTTTTTATTCTTGACTGTTGTGCCTCGTAAATGGGGAGCATGCATTGAGTGTCAGGAGTTAAATTTAATGCTGAAGAATTCTCCATCTCTGACCTGCTCCTGTTGCCACTCTCAGCGTCAGTTAAGTTTCTTGTAAATGGTAACTATCACAATGTTGCTGGTAGGGGAATTAAAACACAATTTCAGATAAGAAAGTTGAAGAGGGAAAAATATGATTGTCTTTAGACGGTTTTCCTAGCTAAGTATTAACAGGTGTTCGCAATGCTAAATGTCAGTGACAGATTTATCACAAGGTAAGCATGCAATCATAATATGTTCTCATTTACTCCTAGGCAAACCCATTAAAATACTGCAAAATGTTTACAAAATTAGCTTTAGAATTCACTATAATTCATAGCAAACAAAAATTGTCAGTTTACATTATGCAACCTACCTCAACCAAGACACCAACATAGGGTATAGATCCTTCATCATACTTTACAAAAAAGAGCTCTGGATTTGTTTTCCATACTCCTAACCATGTACTTCTTGCACGAAGCTTTTCAGTGAGGTACTTGCTCATTGCTTCATCTGCTTCTTCTGCCTTTGTAAAAATAAAACAATTAAAATGTTTTAGGTTTCATTCCACACAAATGACCATGCAGTTACCTAACAAATTCAATCTATTTAACCAGCCCTGCACCTTGTTGTCTCTATTTAACAAGTAATTTTTTTTTTCTATTGATTTGTGGGATGTGGGTGTCGCTGGCTGGCCAGCATTTCTTGCCCATCCCAAGTTGCCCTTGAGAAGGTGGTGGTGAGCTGCCATCTTAAATTGCTGCTTAGGGAGGGAATTCCAGAATTTTGACCCAGCGACAGTGAAGAAACAGTGATATATTTCCAAGTCAGGATGGTGAGTGACTTGGAGGGGAACTTGGAGGTGGTGGTGTTCCCATATGTCTGCTGCCCTTGTCCTTCTAAATGGGAGTGTTCATGGGTTTGGAAGATGTTGTCTGAGGATCTTTGGTGAATTTCTGCAGTGCATCGTGTAGACAGTACACACTGCTGCTACAGAGTGTCAGTGGTGGAGGGAGTGGATGCTTGTGGATGTAGTGCCAATCAAGCGGGCTGCTTTGTCCTGGATGGTATCAAGCTTCTTCAGTGTTGTTGGGGCTGCACTCATCCAGGCAAGGAGGGAGTATTCCATCACACTCCTGACTTGTGCCTTGTAGACAGTGGACAGGCTTTGAGGAGTCAGGAGGTGAGTTACTCGCCGCAGTATTTCTCGCTTCTGGCCTGCTCTTGTAGCCACTGTGTTTATGTGGTGAGTCCAGTTGAGTTCTGGTCAATGATAACCCTCAGGATGTTGATAGTGGGGGATTCAGTGATGGTAACACCATTGAATGTCAAGGGGTGGTGGTTAGATTGTCTCTTCTTGGTGATGGTCATAGCTTGGCATTTGTGTGGCACAAATGTCACTTGCCACCTGTCAGCCAAGGCTGGGTATTGTCCAGATCTTGTCCTGCAATTCAATAGAAACAGTAAAACTAAACAATCTTTAAAGCAAAATGTTATCATTTTTGGTTTTTTTATATAGTGGCCCTCCATTATCTAAAATACTAGCACTCTTCGGTTCTTCCATGCCACACTGTGTGCAAGGATTTCAGGACCATGGAGCAACTTTGTGATGATGTCATGGAGCTGGATACTGAATGCAAATAGTGGGCAGAGTTAGACTACGTTACACTAGATTACAACAAAGACAATCTAGAACGCCAGAGTGTCTTGAGAGCATGTGGACATGAGCACATATAGGGGTGGCACAGTGGCTCGGGGTTAGCACTGCTACCTGACAGCACCAGGGACCTGTGTTCGATTCCACCCTTGGACGACTGTGTAGAGTTTGCACATTCTCCCCATGTCTGCATGGGTTTCTTCCCACAGTCCAAAGATTAGGTGGATTGGCCATACTAAATTGCCCAAAGTATCCAAGGATACTATTAAACACTTTAAAGGGAAAACTTTAAAGATTGTTTAGTTTGACTGTTTCTATTGAATTGCAGGAAAAGATCTGGACAATATTCAGGTTAGGTGTAGCCATAGCAAATGCAGGGTTACAGGGATAGAGTATGGGGGTAGGTCTGTGTGGGATGCTCTTCAGAGGGTTGGCATGGACCTGATGGGCTGAATGGCCTGCTTCCACACAGTAGGGATTCTATTCTATAAAGGGTGGATTCGTCCTTAATTAGCGTAACAACAAGATTGGAGTCTGATATATCTATGACTATCATGCATGTATTTAGTATTAATGTATAATAAACAGTGTTACTTCGAAGTGTAAGCCTGACGAAAGTTCTTGACTTTGCCTTCTCCATGAACAGTCTGTCTTAAACCCAAACTCACAGTGTGGCATCAAACCAGGCAATAAAAGATGGTGGCATCAGTGGGATTCGCTACTTAGAAAATCTTGGCAGCAGTGAAGATCAAGAAACAGACCTAAGGTTATCTGGAGAAGACAAAAGTTTTAAAAATATTTTTATAAATGTAATCATTGGTTCAACTTTAAGAGAAGCCAGCAGCCAGAAAAGCCATGGAGCTTAACAGCTGCTGTAAAGGAAACACCTCTGGATAGAAAGCTCCTCCAGAGTAAGCCCCAAAACACTAAGTCTCAAAAAGCCCTTCATAATCAATAATAGGGAAAACAAGATTTGAAGGAAACAATGACAGCAAGAAAGGCCCACTAGCAGCTAAGGGAAGGAATCTGAAATGAGTACCCATGAAAAGAAAATGATTACTAAACATTCAAGCAGATTCTATCCGTTCAGGGAAGGGACCAAAAGGTTTTTTGTATTGTAAAGATGGTGTTGTAATACTAATACTGAAAGCTGTTAAAGATTCTGCTGTTCTAAGTGCTGTTTTAGATGTATAGTTCAGTTTGAATGAGGAATTCGAAGTTTTACTTGGACAACTAAGAAGTTGTTATTAATTTTACTCACAAAAAAAAAACAAAATTTGCGTAAAGAAAAGGAAACAAATCTGATCATGTGGCATCAAATTTGGCGTGAAAATACCTCAAATGCTGAGAAATCATTGCGAATCATAGCAGACAGCTTTTCTGTATTCAAAAAAATCACTGAATCTTATTGAGTGAAACTACTTGGAGAAAGTTTCCAACCACAAATCCCCTCTAGTCAGCATAGATTAACATTTTACCACCTGAGTTAAAGATGTGTGCAGACAGAGATGCTGTACAGTTAAAGTGATACTGTGTGCCAAATGACATTCAAAGATCACACATTATGTGGAGGAGACATGCATCATCAATAACTGGGAGTCTTCCCTAATAAGTAAGAAGGCACACTTTGCCCCCAACCTCCTGCTCAGGGTACATGAACTAACATACAGTGAAAAGTGTCATTCAGCAACATTATCTCAAATTGTTTACTGGACTACATGCTAAAACTACCCAGCTCTAAAACAGAATACATGATGTCCTGAATGTTTACAAGCAGCAGGCCTTACATTTCCTAGCCATATTGCTTGCATGAATCGTCAGCTCACATGGTGATCCCCAGAAAACCAAGGTGGTTAGAGATTTTCCAACTCCCAAATCAGCGCACAATCTACAATGGTTTCTGGGTATCAAGCATCAATTTGCTAAATTTTTACCACACCAGAATGCTTGTAAAATCTCTAAGAAATTACAAACGTTATTCGGTTGCACAGCAACAGATGGCCTGTCAGAAAACTGTGTACAGTTTTGGTCTCCTTACTTGGAAAAGGATGTACTGCAATCACAGGAGGTTCACTAGATTGATTCCGGGGTTGAAAGGGTTGGTTTATGAGGAGAGATTGAGTAGACTGGGACTATACTCAATGGAATTTAGAAGAATATGGGGAGGATCTTACAGAAAGATATAAAATTATGAAAGGAATAGCTAAGATACAAGAGTAAGGTTGTTCCCAAAGGTGGGTGAAACTAGAATCAGGGGGCATTGCCTCAAAATAAGAGACAACAGATTTAGGACTGAGTTGAGGAGGAACTTCTTCACCCAAACGGTCGTTAATCTGTGGAATTCCCTGCCTAGTTTAGCAGTTGAGGCTATTTCAATGAATGCCTTTAAGACAAGGATAGATTTTTGAACAGCAAAGGAATTAAGGGTTTTGGTGAGCAGGCAGTTAAGTGGACCAGAGTCCATGAAAAGATCAGCCATGATCTTACTGACTTACAGAGCAGGCTCAACGGGCCAGATGGCCTACTCTGTTCCTATTTCTTATGTTCTAAAACTAAGAACATGCTGATCTCCATTGATATCTTAATCCATTGCAACCTGCTCTATACCATGAGTATTGCCGTCGATGCTTCAGCCACAGGTATTGGGGTAATTCTTTTTCAGGAACAGCAGGCAAAATAGCAAAAGCCCATACATTACGCTTTAAGAGATACAGAAATCTGGTACAGCATTGTTGAGAAAGAGGCTTTTAGTGGTTACATAGGCCTTTGAAACATTTTCTGATTACATTCTGAGTATCAAAGTCATGATTGAGACCAATTATAAACCTTTAACTGCTTACTGGACAAAAAAAAAAAAGAGTAAGCAAAAATATCTCATGTACAATGCCTTTGAGCTTAGACTTATAAAACTCTCACATGAAACTTAATACGCACAAGGTAAGTATCAATTGTAAGATATTCTTTCCAGAACAATGGTTGAAATAATCACTCATGAAGATGATGTTTTGGGGCTGAAGTACACTCTTACGCTCAAACAACTGTATTATCTTGGCCAGCCTCTTGAAACAAACTTGACCTCATTAGGAAAGTACAAAACAAGGAACATGAGTGCACTAACACGCACAGCAATTGCATTCAAGAATGGCCCGGAGCTTGGTTTGCAGCCTGTATCACAAAGACTACTTTGAACACAGGCAGCACTTCTCTGTTATAGAGTCATACAGCATGGAAACAGACCCTTCAGTCCAACTAGTCCATGCTGACCATAATCCCAAACTAAACAGTCTCACTTGCCTGCTTTTGGTGCATATCCCACCAAACATTTCTTACTCATTACTTACCCAATTAGCTTTTAAATGTTGCATTTGTACCCACATCCAACACTTCCTCTGGAAGTTCATTCCATACACGAACCACTCTGTGTAAAAAAAAAAACAGCCCTAATGTCTTTTTTAAATCTTTCTCCTCTCACCTTAAAATATGCCCCTTAGTCTTGAAATCCCTCACCCTAGGGAAAAGACACCTGCCATTCATCTTATCTATACCCCTTATGATTGTATAAACTTCTGTAAGGCCACCCCTCAAACTCCTACGCTATAGTGGAAAAAGGTCCCATCCTATCCAGCCTCTCCTTCTAACTCAAACCCTTCAATCCCATCAACATCCTGGTGAGTCTCTTCTAAACCCTCTCCAGCTTAATAATATGAGACAAGGTGCACAGCAGGCCAAGCAGCATCATAGGAGCAGAAAGGCTGACGTTTCGGGCCTAGACCCTTCATCAGAAAGAAGACCCTTCTTTCTGAAGAAGGGTCTAAGAAAGAAGGGTCTAGGCCCGAAACGTCAGCCTTTCTGCTCCTACGATG